TCTTGTGACATTTTGTTTTCAGTTGTTTTAGTTCCAGTAAACTGCAGCAGATTTTGAAGATTGACATACTGTGGGTGTTTCCACTGAGCCAGTTATGTATTGTCATCATTGTATGTTCCCATATGATGGCGAAATTGGCTCTCTGCATTTAACCTATCCACCACCAGGTGGAGCAGTGGGCAGCTATGGAAGGCACCTGGGGAGCAACTGGGGATGAGGTGTCCTGCTCATAGACACAACGAGATGTGAAATGACTGGGGATCGAGCCCAGGACCTTCAGTTCCTGAGTCGGCTGCCCTGCCTCTACACCATATCGGCCCCCCACATGTCCAAGGCATAACATCACCAACACATTTAGTCATGTTTGAAAGCATGACAACCATTTATACACAATCCCAAAGGTCCTTACCCAGGGGTTGTATAGTCAGTGTTTGAATCCTGAGCCCCAGGGTAGCATGATCTGCAGTTTAATGTGTTGAACCCATGTGCAGGAAGGCAGGAGGACTCGGGAGTACAAATAAAATATTTATTTTCACGAAACAAACATGCTGACAGGGCAACAAAACTTACATGAAGGTGATGAAGAAAACGATGAGCAGACACAAACCTTGACACCGTGAACGGACAATCCCCGGATCACAAGGGAGTGAAAACACGTAGATTAAATTCTGACACTAATGGGACAAGTGGGAAACACCTGCAGTGATTAGTATTTGGTTCAGTTGTGCACAGGGGCAGGAACACGAGGAGAAGAAAAATACAGGGGGTGTAGAAGACAGACTAGACAAGACAGACAAGCGTCTCACAGGGATTTTAACTCGATTTCAATGCATCTACAGTGCCTTGCGAAAGTATTCGTCCCCCTTGAACTTTTCAACCTTTTGCCACATTTCAGGCTTCAAACATAAAGATATAAAATTTTAATTTTTTGTGAAGAATCAACAAGTGGGACACAATCGTGAAGTGGAAGGAAATTTATTAGATGTGTCAAACTTTTTTAACAAATAAAAAACTGAAAAGTGGGGCGTGCAATATTATTGGGCCCCTTTACTTTCAGTGCAGCAAACTCACTCCAGAAGTTCAGTGAGGATCTATGAATGATCCAATGTTGTCCCAAATGACTGATGATGATAAATAGAATCCACCTGTGTGTAATCAAGTCTCTGTATAAATGCACCTGCTCTGTGATAGTCTCAGGGTTCTGTTCAAAGAGCAGAGAGCATCATGAAGACCAAGGAACACACCAGGCAGGTCCAAGATACTGTTGTGGAGAAGTTTAAAGCC